TTTTGAACAACCGTGTTTATTTTCGTGCTTCTACTAACACCCAATTTACACGATGATTTTTTTCATGTTTGCCCAGACGTCTGTTTTCATGTTTGTCGATGATTGGTGGTGAGCGGGGTAGAGAAGAATGGGGGGTAAGAAAACAAACATGATTTGGGATTTTCATGATTGTTTTTGACATTCCTCTTTAAACTCATTCGTACTGTTGATATTATGCTCATGTAAAAAAATAATTATGTCTTTTTTTTACATGAAAACATTAAAATTTGCATTAAAAAAATACTATAGCGTGTAATTAAATTTTTTTAAATCAAATTAAATGGTTTTTATGTTAAAAATTTAATTTTGTTTTTATTACGAATAAGTAATTAAAAAGGATTATATAATTGAACATCAAAAAAAGACATGCATAGTTGCATGTAAAAAATCACCGTATAAATGTTCATGATTTTTTGGAAGATTCTCAAAAGAGAATTGGAAAAAACAGACGTCTGAAAAGTCTTCATGTAAATTGCGCCTTAGGTCTTTAACAATCGCTTTCGCCTATATGCTACTATATGGTAATATCTCTCTATATGTTTCTCTTACTATTTTTACATTTAGGAAGATTTCATTTTGCTAATATTTCTTGAAATTGTGTTTAATATGAAAAATAAGAAGGAGAAATGGAATATTTATTGATATTTTATTTATTATAAAAAAAATAGATATTTAAATATAACATTACCTTCTATTTTAAATAAACTTTTCATTCATGTTTTTCAATTTATTAAAATTTTGTTGACATTTTAATTTTTTGTTTGTTTTGTTTTTCTCTTTTTTCTTGTGCGGCGACGTATTTTTTAATATTATTTAGGAAAAAAACAGAGTTGCATCACTAAAAACAACTAGATTTTGAGTAGATTTTAACGAAATTTAGTTACGAAGTAGATTTTGTTTTGTATGGGAAATCTAGTTAAAATCAACTATATTTTACTCGAAATCTCATAAGTTCTAGATTTCGTATACATATGTGTAAATGGAAATTTAGAAATTCGTAAAAAATTCTGATAAAGTATAAGAATTATTTTAGAAAATTTCTGGCATCAGACATGTCTGAAAATTTTTTTTACTGGGGTGAATGGTGACTTTTAGGACCTTAATTAAGACCCCAAGACGAAGCCCTGTAGCAACAGTCATTAGCTTATATAAAGTTCCCCAGTTTGCCAATTTTTTTCGACTAATTTTCCTGGGCTATTTAAAACATATAACAATTATATATTTATTTTTCTAAAAGTTATCTTTACAGAGAACATTTTAATGTAAAACTAAATTGTTTTATTTATATACATATGTTAATTTCGATCTTTAAATCTCCGTCTTTTATTATGCTTCACTTTTGCCAAGTTTTATTATAAGTAAAATTCAAAAAATTTCAATTATATCATTCGGAAGTTATACGAAATAAATAGCATATTCGGAAAATATAAAAATTCAATATCTTTAATTTAATTGAATGGGAAATTTCGAAAACTTAAACTAAAAAATCCTTGGCTGTGGAAATCGGAAATGCCGGATTTATTTCCATAAAATTCAATTCTGCCCTACTGTGCAGTGTAAAAACCTGTTAATTTAATCCCCGTATTCATAAAGATAATAATAGTTTATTACTCATTATTCCATACAAAATTCCTACAATAAACCATCAACAACTTTATTAAGCATTTCTGAATATAATGCAATAAAAAAACATAAATTATTTGATTTTATTCTTTTTTATTAATAATTTTTATAAAAACAATATTTAAAAAGAAACAATTTATACGTCATTGGAAACAATCCAATTGGGTGGTGCTTAAGTTCTGGTCAATATCAATATGTATGTATATTTTATTCTATTTATAGCTAAATGACAATGATTTACATTAATAACTACATACACGTATTAATTATTATTTGTAAATAGTATCAACTATTATGTTAATAATTTAACAGATCATTCAGGTCTGTCACACATTTCGATTAGAAAGGCTTCTATTCCACAGTATTATTCCAATTCTGATTTAGGCATATTACGCTAACTTATACATATCATAAAGTTTAACACATAGTTTGGTCCCTAAAAACAAATTACAGATTGTAAAATTAAAAAAAAAAAAAATTCCAATAACTTTTGAAAAAAAATAAAATTATGAAAATTTTAAAAATACGAAATAAATAAAATAATGCATAAAATGCCTAAACGCGCTAAAAACGAAAAACATGCTCTAAAAAACTCGAATATGCTATTAAAATAAAATAATGAAAATATGCTAACAAATTGATGCTAAAATACTTACATTTACATACATTGTTGCAAAATGTATAAATATTTTGTCCATGAATCCATACGACGCACCATAAAAAACACGCATTTGCATATTTTGGTTTCCCTGGTAATTACAAACGATTTTTAATTGAACTTAAAAATTTTAAGTGGTTCTACACAAAAAAGTGCGGAAATACTTCAACTTTCTTTTGGAATGGAATTCTGTGACATATCTGATTGTTAATTTTTATTTATTTGTATAAATAAATTATTAGATGTTTTTATACAATTAAAACACTACACGATGTATGGTTCAAAAAAATCGCCTTCATTAGAATAATATTATTCACCTTCGTGAGTAGTATAGTATTTTTATAGAAAACAATTTTCTAAAGCCTAAATATATTTTCTGGGTGCTAATTTTGGGTCATTCTATCAGACTTGCCGAAAAATATACTTTTTGAATTTCAGTTATGATTAAAATTTCGAAAACGCATTATTTTTCTTATATTTGTGTTGTTATTTGTTAGATTTTAGATTGTAACTGAATTGAAACAAAATATTTCACAAAATTATAAAATTAAACACATTATTACAAAGAATTGTTATTCTATTCTGTGAACAAAATATGATAATTTCTTTTGCTCTCGCGAAAACTAGACTATATTGAGTTAGCACTTTTTGAATATAGACTCTCGATGTATATTATTTTTTTTTTTCAAAATTTTACTACATACCTGTTTAAAAATTTGTCGTTTGGAATTTGTTTTTTAGGGACCAAATATGGCAATTATTCATGTTATTCATTATGAAATTTATGGACCGATTTAAAATGCTCCAGAGTAAAATGTTTCGTGCGAAATAACCTGTATGTAATTAAATTATAATAAAAATTTCTACAAATTGGCTGATATGTCAAAAACAATTAAAAATTTAGGCTGACTTATTCAAGGAGTCCAAACGTGTACGTTCACACTTATCAAATATTTTATGAAATCGAAGTAAATATTTTTTGATCTTGTAATCGATTCGTTTTCAAAACCGAGAAGCTTTTAAAACCGAATTTTGGGTTCTGCAAATCGAATTTTTATTTGAACATTAAATTCAGAAAAAAACATATTTAAATGAAAAAGAGTCTAAAATGTCCATAGCATTTATTTTAAGTTACAATTGTATTAAAAAACGCAAAAAATAATTATTTAATTTATTAAAATAAAATTAAATTCGATTTACTATTTACTCGATTAGATTTGTGTACTCGGTTTTAAAACGAGAAAAATGAGAACTCGTTTTTAAACGAGAAATTTACTCGGATTCGGTTTACAGAACAGACAGGAATATTTATGGAAATCAAAATGTTGATAGGGGTCATATAATTAAAATATTTGATAGGCGTGAAAGTAGCTTAAAATAACTAACTCTGTAACTGAAATTTATCAAAAATGGTTGAATTTAAAAATTCGTATCGCAGGACTACCGTGTTACTCCGTCATCCGATACGAAAGAAATTTCGAATTTATATGTTAAAGTTTTTTTCTTTCGAATCAAAATACGGATTGGTTTGCTGAATAAAACCTTTTCATCAAAATCTAAGATAGAGAGTAGTCTTATATTAAACAGCATTAGAGCATAAGCAATTTTGCTTGAAGCTTTGTATTTTAAGTTATGGTCCTTTAAATCAGACGTCTAGTATTGTTCTGACAACGAAGATTTTCGCAAATTACATGTACACAACACGATCGCAGACGAACTTCTAAACAAGAGCATCAAAAATACAAATATTTTATTTAGTTGCTTGACAGCATTCAACAAAGTAGGCTGATGTCGCTTTGTTAAAGAAATTGCAAACATAACTTGAAAAAACAAAAGCAACTTGCAAAAACAAGAACATAATTTACAAAAACAACGTACACCCTAAATAATTTTCTAGAATACATAACAATGAAAGTAAATAAGTTCATCTTGTTTCATACATTTTTTGTACATTTTAATTTGAAATGTTGTTTCTATGTGAAGAAATTATCATTCTTATGTACATTGATTACATTTTGTTTATAAATATTCGCATTTTACAGTAATGCAATTTAATCTTCAAAATTAAAAATAACCAAGTATTTTTTTCAGTGCAATTTCATTAAAAAATGCCAATAGTGTGTGTGTAGTGGTGATTTTTTTATTTGCCTCTCTATACGCCGGTATATGCTCCACATAGACGAGTTCTGAGAGAATAACACACACTTGAGAGAAAGTTTAAATGCAAATGAGCGATATCGCCATTGCTCCGACAAAACAAAAAATGGGATCTTGGTAAATTATGAAACTTTACAAAAGAGGGTTACATTTTTTAGAACAGACCGTTTTTTTGCAGAATTCTTTATATAATATGATCAGGAATATATGTATTATTATGTATTATCTGTGTGTCTTTGGCCAATATTTTGATGAGTTACAAACGGAAAGACAAAAGCAATATATCCAAAAAATGAATTTAAATTTTAATTTAAAACTTCATCCATCTACAAACATTTGCATTAAAAAGACTTTAGTCAAATATTATGAAAATCAGTATTGACTCTTGCGTATCAATTAAATTATGTAAAAAAGCTATTTGTATTATTTAATTATTTTTTTTTTCCTACACATGTGTGTGATTTTATTTTTGTCTTGTTATAGTTAGAACAGTAAAAAAGTACAAATTTAATAAATTGCTTCATTTTAGAGTTTATAAGTAATATTTTTATGATTCCATTTAATATCATTAATCGAGTTTATGCATACATATGTACATATGTATATGCACCATTTAATACATTCATATACTTAAGACTAACAAACGTATGTACCTTAAATCTGCCCATTTAAATTTGTTTTGGAGGGATTTCATTTTGTTGCCGGAAATGTTAGCACTAGCTAGCAATACTAGCTTTTTTTGTTTTTTTCACATTCAGATCCATCCAATACAAATTTGTTTTTAAGGGTGTTTATTAAACTCTTACGATATTTATATATAGATACATATAAAAAGTTATCGCCACCTTAATATGAGGAGAATCCATCTAATTTCAAATTTAAAAGATATTTACCAGCATTTCTTGTTTAAAGTTTTATATTGAAATATGAATACTTTTGTGAAAATTTTAAGATTTTGTAACTTTTTAAGAATAGTATAAACAACTGTATCTAACGCTTTGATAGATTCTCCCTATAGCCTTTTCTAAATTGAAATACATACATACTTACATATGTACATATGTGTGTAGTACATACATAAATATGTATATATGTAAATATATTTTTTTGATCATTTTTTATCAAAAATATCGTAAATGTTTAAAACAATATTTAACATTAAGGCAACGATATAAATATATACTAATATATAAAAGTATTTGAGACCGTTAAAAAAAATATGTTATGTATATCTACCTAATTTTTATATTTGCTTTTGTATACAAAAATTTTATAATATTATTGTACATATTAAGGACGTCACTTTTTAAAAAAATAATTACCACATACAATATTTCAAAATATATATAACATCTAACAAACTAAATAAATTTAAAGTATCGAATAAAATAAATACAATTTTTATACTTTAATTGAAATAAATATAAAAGTCATTATTTCTTAATAAAGTTTTTTTAAGTACCTTTGCAATTTTACACAAGTTTTTGCTCGAATGATAATAAAACAAATTGCGATTATTGCTATGTCATGTTAAATACACACACATACATATTTTAATGTGCATAAAAATTAAAATAAAAAAAATTCGATCTGTGCACCTTTGATTAGTTTTTAAAGGAACAGTTTTGGGAGGAATTATAAGGCATTAAGTTCATCAACAAAAATAAAAATTTAATTGATTATAAGATACTGTGAATTCTCTTCTTATTGTTTTTCGTATTTCTTAAACCGGAATGATATGAGTTTCATATGGGGGCCCTTATGTATGTATGTATGTATGTATATGTATTTAAATTCCAAAGCTAAAATATTGTAATAAATTGTGACTACAATCTGATGATATGACTTAGTGTTATATTTTGAATATACTTTAAATTAACTTACATGAATACATATATGTACATTAGAGTGACAGTCATTTTATAGAAAAAGACATAAAGAATTTGTTAAATTTTTCATCGTCTCTAATATGTATTTAAAATCGCTACCATTCCAGTGTACATAAATGCATGTGTAATTAAAAATTTGGAATACTGTTTAGGAATGCTGATTACTGAATTATGAAAAATTGTTCGATTTTTAAATAACAAATCTATTCCGCAATTCTTATAAAAGTCGTATTAATTATGTCTCGAAATATACATATGTACATACATACATATGTATAAAAGTCATGTTCATTTTCTATTGGCGTGTAAAAATAAATATACGTAGGTATATTTATTATTGTGTTAGTGATTTAGTAAATAATAAAAAATAATTAACTACATAAATATATTTATTGTTTAACAAGCTACTCATATTAAAAGTGTAGTCATAATTTTTAAGTGGTTTTTGGTATTGTAGTTTAAATTAAATTTAAACCCTAACTCTACACATCAGTTTTGGTGATATGTTCGTTTGTAGAGTAAATTGTTGTATAAATAAATATGTAATTTGATTTAGATAATTCTTTGGTATTTTGATTCATCATTATTCAAATATCCCCTGTATCCATGGCAGTATTAATATCGGCTACAATTTTGCCCATCACTTCTCGATATGGTGAATTTGGTTTAAATGCTGTTTCCAAAAGTGTTGGATCGCTGAAAAATTCAAATACTTCATCGATGCGATTTAAAGACTTTTCGGTTAAATGTCTCTGTACAATGGACTTTAAAGCTGTATGTGATTCAGCTATTGATTTTTGTAAATATGGCAGGTCAAAACTGTAATCAACTTCATAGAAAGATATAACTGATAGTTGAGTATTCTGAAAAATTAATATTAAATTATTTAAAAAGTTATATCAAAGCATTAGAAAAATGTTTCAAATTTTATCTTGATCTGTTTTAAAATATTTAAAATTTTTTCTTCTAATGATTGCCGCTTAAAATGTAATTAACTTTTAAGAAAATATAACATGTATTTATATTATTATACTTTAAATAAACCATGTATAAAAAAATTACTACTTTTTTGTAATATTTAAGTATATACATACGCTATCGGACAAAATAAAGTGCAAAAGTGCTCATGTAATATTCTTTCAGCGAAAAATCTATTAAATGATTATTGAATATGGAAAATTGTTTAAAATTCATTTAGTTAATACAATGCTACAAAAATAACAATAAAACAAATTTATTGTACTTAAAATTTTTCTGTATAATATATAAAATTAAAGTAAATTCACTATTTTTTTCGGACAAAATAAAGTGTAAATTGTATACCATTATTTTAATGTTTAAAACCCGGAGTTTTGTTTTCAAAATTTTTGTATATTGAAGGGCTTAAATCACTCTCATTGTCGACATTTTAAAATTTTTGATACGAATTGGGACTCATCTGACCAACTACGTAAATTTGAGCTAAAATATACAAAATTAAATACTAAAATCGAAAAAATGTACACCCTTATAAATATGTTGGTGGAAGATTCAAGGTGTGGGTCAGTTGACTCTTCGTACTTGTCAAATTTTTAATTTTAGGCGTTGAGGAAATGTGTTCAAAAAGGTAGAGTAAACACTAGGGGCTTTTTTAATTTTAAAATAAACTAATTTAATTAATTTTGCTATTCACCAATATATGGCAAATATCTTTTAAAATGCTTATAAATAGTAAAATAAACAAAATTCCTGTAACTAAAATATTGCACACATGATATTTCGGTGCAAATACCAATTTTTGTAACAAATTGTAACAAATTTTATGGAAAATTTATAATTTTAATACTAAATCTCCTCAAAATGAGCAAGTCTGAAGTTAGTATGATGGTACGTACGTATTCTGAGTCGACACACAGGATTACGAGCACATCTAGACAAAATTGGCCGTGAGGATTCAGACGAATGTAGAGTATGTGGAGAGGACAGTGAAACTCTGGAGCACTATCTTTGCCACTGTCAGGCATTCGTCGAAGTTAGATCCAACTGTCTTGGAAGTGATATTATTCCGGAAATAACATTCCTGACTAACACTGATTGGAAAATTCTTAGGAATTCGTCTAGGAAACTGAGTTTCTGAACATTGAAAAATAATATACTCAGTGAACATTTTTTCATGAAAAGGAGCGCACAACAGGCCCGATAGTGGCCTAGGTGTATTTGATGTACTATACATCCTCCTATCAACCTAACCTAACCTAATATTATATTTTGAAATAACTCCATCTGTTGGCTGCTGTTGACATTATAATTTGAAATTTGTTTAGCCTCGATTAAAACCTTTTGCCTTATCCACCTGGCGTAAAGTGCAAGGACTAAAATTTGGATTTAATAAATCCAATTGCCTAAATCCGTCAACACCGACCCACATACTCTACGCTTTATCTACCTGGCTTCAAAGGAAATTCTGAAACTAAAAACTTTCAACTATAATTCATACCGTATTACAGCTGGAAACCCCTGCAAAAAATCCAGTATAGCTACAACTTTTCTACTTTTTAAAGATATTTTCGAAAAAACTTGCACAGAACCCATGACATTCAACTCAGAAAAAGTCCGAGTTTCATTAAACACTTTTTCCACACCCAAGAATGAAACACCCATTGAAGTAATAAACTCTCTATATCGTGAAAAGCTCCATGGCAACAGACGCTTCTATAATGAACCACAGCACAGGATGTGCGGTGTGCAATATCTCCTGCAACAACAATTTCCTCTTCAAAATTCCCAACAAAGTTTCATCTCTGACCGGAGAGCTCTACGCTATCAATAAGGCAATTGACATATACACCGCAAAATTGAGTCCTCCAACACAGCATCTGTTGAATTTATATGGACGCCTGCCCATATGGGACTTCCTTTAAATGAGCTGGCGGACTACTACGCGAAACACGCTGCCTATGATGGCAGCATAATAACGCCAATGCTATCTCTAAAGGACGCTTTCTCAGATCCCAAAGGCGATTGTAGATCTCATAATATCTTTCCAGATCTACCAAAATCGCACTGGTTCACAAATTCAGATTCATCAACGTGTGTAAAATTGATCTATGAAAACCACTCTCTCGAAAATACCTTGCCTTCCAACGCACCACTCATAAACACGACACCCTCAACCGGCACAAAATTACCTACAACTACATATGAATACAAAAACAAAACCGTTTTTTATTCACTCTGATACTCAACGTCTATTGTGACTTAAACAGCCCTGGCGTATAAGCCATTTACTTTGTCAAAATAAAAAAAAAAAATAAAAATAAAAAAATAAAAAATGCTGCTACTATGTGAGCATATTATAGTCAAATCTAAAGATCAGTGCCTTCGAAATAAATTTGGGCAACGTTATATCTCGACAAGATAATAAGCTTAAGTACTTGATAAAGATATAAAATAACATTTTTGTAAAAAAAAACACTGAAAATTGGAAGAAGCTGCTCAAAGCACTGCCATAAATCCAATAGATTAATTTTGGACCACAATTTAAAAAAATCCGATAAAATAGTGAACAAAAACGGATTTCTTTTGAAAATAATCGTATGGTGGAAAGCAAGGGGAAGGGAAGGCAATTGCGAATAATAATGGTAAAACATAACCAAAATGGCTCAAGTAGATCTAAATATTGAAATCAGAACCAACATAGATAAAAAATGTTGATATACAAGAAATATAAATAATATTATATATATGTAGTTTACATTTTATTTTGTCCCACAAAAAAGTGAACTTAGTTTAATTTTTGGTGTTATACAGAAAAATTTATTTTGTCCGATAGTGTATGTGTATAATACGAAATATATTTTATTCAAATCATTTTCAAATTTTACAAAATTAAGAATCCTTTCAAAAAATTAAATAAAATTCATTTCATCGAAATAGAACAAATATATGAATGTAGTAGGAATTTGTAATCAATTACGGCCAATCGGCCAAATTTTATGAAAACATATAAATTAAATTAACATTTATTATTTAAGAAGAAATAAAAATTATAAAATATCGAATTTACTCTTGAAAAATATTTATGAAAAATATTTTAAAATAATATAGTGTCAACTAAATTATTTCAAATATCAATTTCAAACAAAAATTGGTCTCAATATTGGCATATGCCAAACTAAAACGAGCACATTTATAATTACGTGTCCTAAAACTTATTGGGGAACTAATACAATTTTTCTGGTATTTTTTTTTTTTATAAAAATTAAGAAAAAGTATAGCGATTGTTAAACCAATATTAAAGCATGCTCACTTGTAAATTAACTTATGATATTTATTTTATCTTTCTTCTTTGAAATAAATTGTTTTACTAAAACACACTAAAGATTTTATGGTCTTTGCTAGATCGAACATATTTGGAAATGATTAACTTAACAATATAGTATTGTTTTTCTTCAGAATAAGACTAATATTTTAAATGTTTAACGTACCTGAAATTTTCGCTTAAATGTTTCAGCTTGGGTTAGTTCTTCGGCATTAAATTGATTGTTGCGATGTAAAACTCCAATTTTTATAACAATTTTAATTATATTTTTAATAATTTTCTCCGCTTTAACCTTGTTTCCACTCTGCAAAATAATATTATAATTAAAAAGCATTGGAAATTTTTCAATTAAAATAAATTTTTAATACTAACATGAAGTTTGCAAAGGCGATATAAATTGTCCAATAGTGATGCTGTTGTACCATCAATAAATGTCTTCGCAATATTCTTTGTAGCCATGCGGGAAAGAATCTTTTTTTGGGCACGCAAGCCAATGTCTCGTGATTTGAAAACCCCATCAGCCATGACTAAATGTTAAAAAAATTATTGGATGTTAATAATTTTTACATTATTAGTCGCAAGTGCATAGATAGAAATTGAAGCAAACCAATATAAAAATCTTACACTGTGACAAATGTTTTAGTTTTTTCTAAATAAAATAAGAAAAATCAATAGTATATTTAAAAGAAGCATAAAAGAAACTAGACGAAATTTGAATTAAAATTTTTTGTAAACAAAAAAACCAAGAGAAAACATCAAATAAAAGCGTTTTTTCATTACCTTCTAAATTCCAATAGTCAACACTCCAAAGCAGTAAGCATTGACGTATCCCCTCAGCAGCCATAATTTTAACTTATATATCGAAAGCATTAAATTAAATACCATAAATATATGAATAAATATTTCTGTATGTAGTATATAAAAAGAGTTTCTACATTACATGATATTGTAGTAATACAATATCATGTTTTAGTATTTCATCACCTAAAACGCAAATTTTTAAAATTTTACAGCAGAATCAAAAAAACTATTTAAATAGAAAAGTTTGTTTCTATCAACGCGATTTATTTCTTGTAAATAAACAAATTGTTTAATAGTGAAACTTATCATATGTTATGATAGTTGACAATGGCGTATATAAAAATGGATAAATGGGACTTTTTACATTTAATATTTAAATGTTTTTGTAGAAAGGGCATTTTGTTTTTTGTTAATAAAATCGATAATTTTGGTCGGAGGAGTCCAATTTTTGGTGTGTGCATTTGTTTTGATGTAATATATTAGAGTCAACAATAAAATAGAAGAAAATAAATATAATATAAATATAGATATAGATATATAAAATATCAAATTTAAAAATAGTCTGCTCCGAAATGCTTGATGTGCATCTTTTATTTAATATTTAATTATAGCTCAGAAATGGCGAACCATTCAAATATGTTTACAAATATGGGCTTAGGTTCGACAAAACTCTGTACACGGTAACAAATGTAATTCGCAATATTTCAAAATAAAACAGTTTTTTACTCTCCTGAAAACCTTAAATGAAGTCCAAATTTCCAAAACAGAACCTGGTTAAGCCACCAATTTGTTCTTGTAGAGGAAATGGTAAAATTGAAGAAAGACTGCTTGAAAATGGGATATTTGTTACCATTTGTATGTTTTTACAATACAAAACTGTTTTTAACCAAACCTAGACATTTGGTATTATGAATTGAACCAGTTATATTAAAAATGGACAATGCAAAGAACAATTAAAATTTTATATTTTAAAGTCTCCAGATTTTATACTAATCAAGATATAAAACATGTTTATGTGTATTTTTATAAAAATGTTATTTACATATAGTTGCCATTTCTAAATTTTTCCTGGGAAAGATAAATTTGTTTAAATCGCAATCGTCCACCTGAAACTTATCTCAAATCTTATAAATCTTCCCTCTTAGTTATAGTTCATTGAGGTAGCTAGCCTTGTTTGCCTACGATCCTGAACGGAAATGAATCACTGTGCTGCATTAGATTCGATAAAATATATAATTCGTGCATTTTGAAAAAAATTGAAAAGAATTTCGTGGAAAAATTAATATTGGTCAATTATGAGAGGACCTTTATATACACCGGAGTTTTTTTCTTTATAGTATAATAGTTATACTTTGGTATAATATTTGTGTAGAATTTCACCTTAATTACAAAATATTTTAGCAATTTAAAAAAAAAAGATTTTTTGAAAGAGTGATAGTTGTTGAAATTTGGGCAGATTCTCAAAGTTGTTATAGTCAAAATTATGTTTATAAAAACGTTTTTATGCCGAAGTTCATTGTGATTCTAGCGTTTATAAGTGAAAATGAATAATTAATTTTTTTTTAAATTTGTCTAAAATGTTGGTAAACAAACACAAGAACATTTGCCGCATCAAACATTATAACAAGAATATCAACTCGACTATCGAACCTACATATATCTACATACATATTTATTTTATATAATAATATTTACTATGTTGTTAAACATTTGAAACCAAATTTGCATAAATTGTAATGGTTCTGTTTTAGACAAATCTTTTGAAAATATCTTTATATAATTATTCTTTGAAATACATACATATGTAAATATTTTATACACTCATATATTAGAATTAAAAACAAGTTTCTATTTATTAAGCTTGTTTTAGTATATATTTAAATATTCTTTATATTCCCCATTTACTAAAAGACCGGCATAATTCAATGAATGTTTTATGATATATTATTCTTATACTTATCGAAACTATAACACAGAAACCAAGGCCGAAGTACCCCATAAGTGATCGAATATGCATTCGTATCGAAAACATAATTTGATATCGAAATCAATATAAAATTTACATTACAGAGAAAAAAAGAATGCATAACATGAATGAATTTTGTAATATATTGTATGAATCGAACATGACTTTTTTTTCCCAAACCATTTTCATTCAGAATATTAAAAGTTCATAAAATGTATGAACTTGTACATGACGGAATTTTTTTAAATTTTTACTTTTTTTCTACGAAATTCATGTAAAATTGCAAAAAAGTTCATTATCTATTAATCTGTTTCCATATTTAGTAGATAGTAATCCTTTATTAGCGAATTTTGTATAATAAAAAAATATAAATTGAAATGTAGAAAAACAAAATGTTAAACAAGAAAACATCATCCAACATAGTTAAGCATCTATTCTTCATAAAATGCCGCCAAATATGTACACATTTCATCGATTTTAATCTAAAAATGATAAAGAATACAAAATTTTCCAACGAAAATTTCAAACATTTTTTTAACAAATAGAAAAATAAAAATAAATTTGAAATATTTTAAGTCAAGGCTTCTAGATTATGTTTGAAAAAATAGAAATTATAAAATTCATACAATTTAGGAACTTATTCTTAAATATTATTAACTTTAAATAATGAAAGCAGTTCATAATATTTATGCTGAAACTTTTTTCTGTGTATTTATTGTTCGATATCGAATGCAATCATCTCAAAAAGGATAATTACGATCAATTTTACTCGGTCGAATTTCAAATGAAGTTTTTGTTTTTATACCCTACACCACTTTAGTGGGGAGGGTATATTGGATTTGTGCTGATGTTTGTAACATACAAAAATATTCGTCCTAGACCCACCTTAAAGTATACCAATCGGCTTAGAATCGTTTTCTGAGTCGATTAAGCTATGTCCGTCCGTCCGTCCGTCTGGCTGGCTGTCCATGTAAACCTTGTGCGCAAGGTACAGGTCGCAATTTTCAAGATAATTGGATGAAATTTGGCACGCACGTTTTATTTGACCTAAGGACGAAGCCTATTGAAAATGGTTAAAAGCGGTCCATTATTTCACCTAGCCCCCATACAACAGAACCCCCCGAAAAGGGCTTCTGAGCTCATAATTATGTTAAATATACAGATATATCGATAAAATACGGCATAACTAAGTTTTATAGAAGTCTTGATGACCCTGCCAAATTTCATAAAGATCGGGCCACATTTGACCCTAGCTCCCATTCAAAGTCCCCTTCAGAAAATTACTTGAATGTCCCAAATTAGCTTATAAACACAAATATCGCGATGAAATTCAGCACAATAAAATATTATGTCAATATAAATATATTCACAAAATTTTATCGGGCTTGGTCCATATTTGCCCCTAGCCCCCATATAAAGCCTCTTTCAGAAAATTAGTTTTTCATCCATAAATTGCTTAAATGTATCGGAACAAGGGAATATTGAAGATAAATACTTTATTATGAAAAATAAATCACATTTAATATTCATAACTGGTGTAGGGTATCATATGGTCGGCCACGCCCGACTATAATTTCTTACTTGTTTAGAACTGAAAATATTTTGTTACGCCGCCCTCTATCTACAACGAATCCATACAACAAAGTTTTTATTTTTAATTTTAGGCATAGAAGAAAAATATTTTATCATACTTTTAGGTACCTAACAGAGATCTCATTCTTAACGACAGGTCTAATACAGATGCTAGGAGTAATTGAAAACGTAAAACCCATAAAGAGATAAAAGAGATGTTTAAAACAGATGTTTGTAATATAAACATTATTGCTTCTCTCTACTTAAAAAAACACATGCTGCTAAGGACAACATGTCTGAAACCAGCAGACACCTGCCATCGAAAGTGGTAGGTACATGGTATTTATATTAAGCCAGTTTTGTAAAATCCTTTCAGTAGAACAATATGTTTATATGCTCTTTACCTAATAGGCATGAACAAAGTATTTAGCCTTATATGATTTTATAATTTTAGATTTTTAAAATATTTGTTTGTTCTTTTTGTAAATTAATCTTTTTAAAATCAGTGCAAAAATAAAAAATGCTTTTTTGTCGCTTAATTGATTCAGCTTGTAACTCAAAATTTCCTATTTTCAATGGGAATGATTTTTATTTATAAATGACAAAATATGTATGATTTCAAGTTGTATTGATAATTTGCATAAAGATCAATCACGTTTTATTCTTCCAATTCGATGATAATGTTTTTTGTAAATGTTATTTGAAAAACAATAAGTTGGCGTACATATTTTTAATTAGTATTTTAAAAAAGTAAATAATAAAATTTGTTACTTTTACTTTATTTGTTTAATTTAATTGAGAGGATACCTATACCAAAATAGGAAAGAATAGTTGGATAGAATTTATAAAAATAAGAAAAATGAGTCAAAGAAATAAAGATATCTTATATGTATATAATTAAGTTATTAAATATAAATACATATATGTATATGTATATGTTCATATGTACATACAGTGTCTCTCATAATTATTCGAATTTAGGTGAACTATGAAAAGAAACCAAATTTAATAATATATTTTGTGTGCAAAAAAAATAAATTAATTTATTATATTGTCAAGACATTCCTTAGGTTTGATATCACGCTTTTTAAAACTTGAAAAATTTACATTTACATAAATTAAATTAGCTTTTTTTAAAAAAGTCCATAAAATTGCCTCACAAAAGTATACGAATTTTCCCTGTATTTCATATTTGATCATATTATACGAAACACAAATTTTAGAATCGAATGGTTTTTATGCTTTAAATTGTTTTAAAGGGTTGCTATCAACCGAAATGATATATTTTTGGCCCATTTGGTCCAAAATTTTTGGGGATTTGTACCCTCTTTTTATGTAATATCATTAAAATGGCGATTTTTTTGCAATATTTGTAGTATTTTCTCTTTTTTCCAGAGATAAAACCAAAATTTGATATTGGGATTTAATAGAACCCTTGGAGTATCTAAAAAATAGTATTTTTTGTTACAATAATCTGTATTTGAACGATCCAAGATATATTATTGATATCATTATTCTGTCGCTAATTCAATATATTGGAACTTAAGTCCATTTTCATAATACTAGGGTCAAAAATTTTCGGGAAAGTTTTCTTGTATATATTCTTTTAGATATCAGCTTTTATATATTTTAAGTTTTCAATGTATTGTGGAAGTGTACAACTCCAAAACATGCCTCGAAGAAACACCATTCAATATGGTAGTATCATTATTTTTATGCACCAATGACCTCCAGGCTGCATGCCACTATATAATTATGGTCTAACTCAAAAATATCGATACCTGTTTAAATATTGATTACTATGATTAAAATAAACCCAAAATTTTGGACTTACAGTGTTATTGTAATGGGCAACATAAGCGTGAAAGTTACGAATAGTAAAAACTGAAATCTACTGTATAGGATGACGTTTTGTAAAGGCATGTTTTGGAATTGTATACCGATATAATGTATTGAAGATTTTAAATATATTAGTGCTAATATGTACATGAATGTATACTATCCAACTTTGTCGGAAAATATGGACCCTAGTGGTACGAAAAGGGACTTAAGATCCATACAATTCAATTAGAAACAGAAGAACGATACCAAAAATACATCTTGGAACTTTTAAGTACAGATCCTTATAACAAAAATTATTATTTTTAGATACCTCAAGGGGTCTATTAAATTCCAATATTAAAGTTTGGTTTTATTTCTGCAAAAAAAGGAAAAAAAAATTGCAAATATGGTCAAAAATCGCCATTTTAATGATATTACATGAAAAGATGGTACAAATGCTCCAAAATTGTGGAACAAATGGACCCAAAATATATAATTTCGGTTGATAGTAACCCCTTAATACAATTTTAAGCAAGAAACCACTCGATTATAATTTTTGTGTTTCGTATAATATGGTCATATATGAAATACAGGAAAAATTCGAATACTTTTGTGAGGCAATTTTATGGACTTTTTTTAAAAAAGTTAAATCAATTGAGGTAAATCTAATTTTTCCAAATTTTAAAGAGTGTGATATTATACCTTAGGACTCTCTAGACAATATAACAAATTTAATTATTCATTTCACACACAAAAAATATTATTAAATTATGTTTCTTTTCAAAGTACAACCAAATTCGAATACTTATGTGAGACACTGTACATGTATATTGTAAATGTGGTTTTGCTTTCTTATCAATTTTTTATATAAAATGCAATATTAATAATTATTTCCTTTTGTTCTATATTTACATTTACAATGTTTATATCGTATGAGTTGGTGGTTGATAGTATGAAATCATTCGAGTTATTTAATGTCAAAATATATTAAAATTGTAAAAACAGCTGTGTTCCTTTCTCAAGTTTGGAGGTTCTAATCAGAAAGTGTTCCTGTAACATAATATATGGAAAATAAAATGAAATTGAGAAAACAATAGATTTTTTTTTGCAAATAGAAAAAATTTTTTAAACAAATTTGTATTATTTATCAAACATATCATTGTTTTGGAGCTATAGACCATTTTATTTTCCATGCAATGACTAATATTTTCATACCTTTAGAATGTATTGCACCGATAACAACTTTGTCCTAATGATTGCTTAATCTCTAAATCTGTGGCCATACTATAATATTGGAAAAAAATTAAAGCCGAGCTAATTAAAGCGGTAGTAATATATATGTACTTTATTAGTATGCAATGGTAAGGGGATGCTGTGTCCCAATTTTTATTTCAGATATCTAAAATTACACAGCAAAACTCTTATTTTTTCTAGACTTGAAAACTAAAAATGTTTGTCTTTTTATTTACATAACGATCAATTACTACAAGACTATCATAACACAAAAACATATTAAGTAACTTATCCATTTGTGATCGATAAACTCAGGAATTATGATACCTGATAGGACAAAATTTCATTATGTATATATGTACATATTTTTGGGATCATGAGAAGTTTTCTTATAATGTTTAATTTTAATTTTCAGTCAATTACAACTAAACCATTATTTTATGAAGGGGTATATAAATAGATCTTTATGTGAAGAGTCCACGTAACAAACCTGAAATAAAAAACGGTCAAGTTTTGAGATTTTAAAGTTTAAACATATACGACAGAAACAATTTGCTGTTTTTCTTGTAGATCAATCAATGTTCAATATACCCTAAAAAGACAATATTAGGAGTAGGATGGTTTTTTGTTAAATCTTAAATTTTTATTTTTTGTGGAATGAAAAATGCTTCTATTCAGACTTAATTGAAATTTGACAACACTAAATGCATTTATTTAATATTAGCTATAAATTTGTGGCACAAATCGGAAAAAATAGGTTCCTTGCGACATTTTAAATATGTATGTCGTTAAACTGTTGTATGTTATAGGTTCATATATAGTCCAAAATCGGTTATAAATTTCGAATTAAAGATGTATCAAAAAAAAACGAAACACAAAATAGATATCAGAAATTTCTAATCACCATCGCTAATCTAAATAATGGATATCTTTAAAAAATACTTTTATTTACTTCCAAAATGACACACAATTGAAGGATTTTTTAAGAGAAATGACACAATAACTTTTCATTGTAGACTTCGTTCTCCTTTAAATAATGCCTTTGGGTGGGTCAAACTTCTGTATTTAATGTAATGTTTACAATATTCGAAGTTGAGGGAGGGGATGGTAGATGTATGTACCCTATAAGAAATGAATGACCGAAACTAACACATACAAAATGATTTTACTAACACACATGCAACATTTTTTTTATAGAATTGTCGAAAAAAAAATTAATGGATGATTCCATCAACAATGACAGTCAAATGACCGGTAAAATGACCGTTACTGAACCCAATGTGTGGTATAGGGTTGAATTTACATATGAAAGAATGAAACAACTACATTTTGATTAAAATGTATTAAAATTTATATTTTGATCAACAATGACAGCCAAATGACCGATCAAATGACTGTCACTGTGTTACAGAGTTGTATTTTTCGTCGTTACAAATTAATTGTTTCTGCGAAAGCCAAAGATCAAGAAGCGAAAAAATAATAAAATTACAAAGTCTTTAAATTATTAAAAATAAAGAGAATTATTATAAACTAAATTTTAAAAAAGTTCAGGAAGTGGATCAGAATATAAACAATTCGGAGTTTAATCAATCTATGGTAACATAAATATGTACTTATGATTTTTATATTTCGATATTTATGAATACTTATGTATTTCTTTACAGACAACTTATTTCCACAAATTAATAGGAGCATCAGAGGACTTAAGATTCTGCGTGGTATGTAAAATGGTGAAAAGACTGGTAATTTATGTATATGATTACTATATTAATAAAATTAACAATATATATATATATTAAAATATCAATAAATTGTGTTTTATTATAAATTGGTATAGCCGTCAGATTTGACGGATATATTCATCAAGTGTGATTAGTCAACAATGACCGATTAATGCATCATTTTTTTATTTGTTAACTGTGATGGATATATCCATCAAGCATGATTAGTCAATCATGACTAATATTTATATCATCCATGAGTAGTAAACAACAAAAGAGTGAGCAGCTCAAATATATGTTTTAAAGTCGATAGAATTCATAAGTGCGAGGGTGATGCAACATCACATGTACACAAATGTTTCCATCACTTTTTACATATTGCCCTTAAGAAAGTGATGGGAGCTTTGTTCTACGCAATGATGGGTATATTCTCAGTAGTGCCAGTCAATTGACCGGTCAAATGACTGTCACTGTTCTTATAGGGTAGGTAACTTTTGTTGTGTGTGAAAACTAATGTCGGTTGCCTTTAAGAGTTAAAAACTATTACTATTAGTCTGCATGACTAACCGCCGCAGTAATATTTTAATTTTCACATTAAACATCACATATAAAAAAATTACATATATTATTGATTTTACTTTTAATTACCTTTTTATATTTTCTTTAATTTTTGGTATAAATGTTTGAATTTACAAGAAAACTTTTTTATTTTATCCTTAGGTCAAAGAACACATTTCTCATAAACTTCTTTCTATAGGTATTCTATTTTCACGATTTCTATTTGTATAAAATAAACACTTTTCAAGGAAGTATTGTGCTTCAATAAAACTTATTTTTATTGGTTGTTATTAGTCTACTTTTTACGTATTACATTTGTCGATGCATCGATGTCACACACTTACTCACGAGACGCGCTTTCGTTTAATATCTTGAAGTTTTTTTCTGCTATGCCAGCTGACCGAATACACAAACATCCGCAAACAACCGTATCCAAAAGATAAATTAAAAAAAACTACACAAAATTCCGCTACATTCAGCCCAAGGCGAATTCACATAAGGTGGTGTTATTCAATCAGCTGATTACTTTTTCTTCACTTGACTCAAGGCGAATTCAAATAAGGTGGTGTTATTCAATCAGCTAATATTTTTTTCTTTATTCGCCTGTGCCTGTGTTCTGTATTTTTATCGAAAAGATTTCGCATCGAGTAGGCATAAAACAAAAAATTCCATCGTTTCTCGATTTGTGAGTAAAAATTGTTTCTGTAACTTAAAGTGAAAAGAGGCAACATGAATTACGTTTTTATTGGAAATTTGAAATTAAATTAAAAATATTTAAAAGATTGTCCCACTGAATTGTCTCCTGGTAAATTCTAGGTTTATGCCCACGTACTTTTCCAGCTTTAGCTTCTGTATATTATAAATTATTCCTATTTTCTAAAAATTAGTTAATAATATTAATTTTAATCTTAATTTATTATAAAAACAACATTATCTTTTCTTTATTTCTTACAATACATGTTTAAATTCAACTTTTTTCATAAAATTTTCCTTTCCGCACCGTTTTAAAATGTGAGTTTTTTTTTGACAGTTCATGTGAGAAACTTCTCACAAAATTTTCTTACAGAAACACATTTACTCACAAACTTCCAATAACCTACGTCAAAAAACTTAAATGATAGATAGTTCTCACAAAAATAAATTACAGAAGCACTTGTATGTGAGAAATGATATTTTGTTTCAATTCACAGTGTTTTTTCTTCAATTTCACTGTTTCATGCGAGAAATTTCTCGATGCAAGAGTTACAGAACACAGGCACTGGTTTACGTAGCTGTAAAAGTTTGTTATTGTTTACATTTTTATATTTAAAAATTTCCGTTAAACGGAGAAAAACTTCGTTAATATTTTGAATTATATATGTCAAAAATCTAAAAATTCCAAGCATCTCGTAAACAAATATAATTTTTTTAAATTATGGCATAATTGGTATGTATACAAAAATGTTATTTAAGAAATATTTTTTCTATTATACATACCTATGTTAACATATTAACATTGTGTAGATAAACAATCCAAAAATTTTCAACATTTTCTCAAGTTAAGCTTATTTCTTATTGACAAATTAGTATATGAAGAAAAATTTGCGGTTTTTGATTTAATTGCGGAGTTATGAAACTTACGCCCTTGAGAATTTGTTTTTTCTGAAACCCAAAAAGGCGTACGTTACATTAAAAATAGTAAGTTTCAAAATTTTTAACTAAATTAAAATCGGTTTTTGTTGGTCAAATAGGCCGAAACATGGAAAGCATAAGGCTTATTTGTTTTCATAAAGATTTTCGGAAATTGGATTTTTTTAAACAATTCTAAAGCTGTTAAAAAATCTATAAATAGCTAAAGGTGCCATTTTTGATTTATTTGATGCCAACTTATAACATTTTACAATTTCGAAGTTAAAAACTCTAAAGAAATTTAAAATTTTCCCGAATTTTAAGGTATTTTTAGAACATAATCTTTTAGAATTTCGAAGATAGCGACGTTTATTTTGATTGTAGGAGTGTAAAATTTAGCAGGAACGTGTATTTTAATACGGTGCATCATAATCAATCAAAAAGTCGATTTTGATTTTTATTTTGGGCCTTTTGGATTTCATATGACGATATGTAACGTCAAAATTACCATCTGTAAAAGTTGTACATATCGTCTGATACCTATGAAACATTGCATATGTAAAATACATGTGGAAATACATATGTAAATTTTTCGATTAGAGAGTGTTCTATTTTCGTTTGACAAATATAAACAGCTGTTTTGCTTTGAAATAAAATTTTTTGAAAAAAAAATAAATTAAATAAAATGAATAAAGAACATGAAAAAGAAAATATTTTTAATTTTTAATAAACTAATTTATAATTTTAACAATTTTTACACATTAAAAAGACAGCTTTTATTACATTTATAGGTTATGCCATACGAAAAAACATATGTGTAATAACAAAAATTATGAATCGTATGTAAAATAACAATTTTGACATACATTCGAAATTACCCTACAAGAACAGTGACAGTCATTTGATAGGTCATTTGACTGGCACTACTGACGTATTATTTCTATCACAGCGTAAAGCAAAGTTTCTATCAGTTTCTTAAGGCAAATGGACAAAAGTGATGGAAACATTTGTGTACATGTGATTTTTCTTCTCCCTTGCACTTATGAATTCTATCGACTTTAAAACATATATTTGAGCTCCTCACTCTTTTGTTGTTAACTAATCAAGGATGACATAAATATTAGTCAGGATTGACTGATCATGCTTGATGATATATCTATCACAGTTAACAAATTAAAAATGATGTATTTATCGGTCATTGTTGACTATCATATGTGATGAATATATCCGTCAAATGTGACGGCTATACCAATTTATAATAAAACACAATTTATTAATATTTTAAGATATATATTTGTTAATTTTATTAATATAATAAGCATGTACATAAATTAACAATCATTTCACCATTTTACATACATTGTGGAAATTTGTGGAAATAAATTGTCTGTAAGAAATACATATAAATATCGAAATATAAAAATTAAAAGTAATCATGTTACTTACCATAGATTGATTAAACTCCGCAGTGTATATCTTCAGCTCCACTTCCTGCACTATTTTTAAATTCTGTTTATAATAATTCTCTTTATTTGCAATAATTTATAGACTTTGTAAATTTTTAAATTTTTCGCTTCTTGATCTTTGGCTTTTACAGAAATAATTTATAACGTCGAAAAATATAACTCTAAACACAGTAACAGTCAAATGTAGTTGTTTCACTCTTTCATAAGCAAATGAAACCCTTTACCACACATTGGGTACATCAACAGTCATTTTACCGGTCATTTGACTGTCATTATTGATGGAATTATCCATTAACTATTTTTTTTAGCAATTTTATAAAAAAAATGTTGCAAGAGTGTTAGTGAAATCATTTTGTATGTGTTAGTTTCGGTCATACATTTCTTGTTGTATACATATGGATAAAAAAGTGACAGTACATATGTAAAATACATGTCGTCTAATACCACTTTTAACTAAAAATTTTTCATGAAATGAATTCGCCGTACTCATGGTTTTTGACATCTACGTAAGCCAAATGCAAAAACAAAATATATATAAAATGTTTTTGTTGCAGAACTGCCACCTTATTTTTTGAATTCGCCTTGCATCAGAATGTGCCAAATGCAAAAACAAATTACGTGGAACATTTTGTTGTTGCCGAACTGTCACCACCTTATCTGAATTCGACTTGATTCAATTCTACAGAAATTCCAAGGCGAATTCATATAAGGTGGTGTTATTCAATCAGCTGATAATTTTTTTTCTTAATTCGCCTGGTTGGAGACTTTTGATTGTCAGGGCTACGAATAGCACGTGTTAATTTTTATTTATTTTATTTTATTGATAATTTTTGGAGGATTATAACACACTGAAATGTTATTTTTCATATTAATATGGTTTGGACGGAAGATCGAATACTTGTAAAGGTTCCTCGCCCTAGACACTATGTGCATGGTATAGGTATTTTTACAGCGTTTATTGATTCTCGCGGGAATGACGCCCTTCCCATGGTGAAATTGGGAAGGAAGATTTATGATAAGTATGAGAATGTGGAGATATTTTATGTGACTAGGAAGAAGATCAGAATAACATCTCTTGATTTGAACGTGATTAACCGTATTGTACAGGATGGGGAACTTTACTTTTACCTTTACTGTTTACATTCCATCGAACATGTGTGAAGTAAAGGGTGTGTGCCCTATTCCCGTGGATTACACGGAAAAGGAAATATTCGAGGAAGCTTGGCCCAAGAATATTTCCAGATTCGGCTCCTTACCTGACTTTGGATGTGGCGGGTTGTAACGCGGCCCTGAAATGTGTGAATTGTGGCGGCCCACATGAGTCCTACACAAGGGAATGTCCTATTTACATGAATCAGATTAAATCTAAGACTGACAAAGCCAATTTATTAAGACCAAAGTTACCAACTATCTCTTTACCAACATACCCTAGAACAGCACCCTCATGTAATTTGACGAACTTGCCTGTATTGATACCACGCCCAACTAGTGTACCTATGAAGAGGATCCGGGCTGAAGTGCCGGAACCTCATGACGTAATTGTGACTGCTAACCCCGTTGAGTCTACCGTGATTATTTCCAATGTTTCGACGACATACGATCGCAACGTTTCTGCGGACATTGCTCGCAGACCCGCTAAGGAGCGTAGGGTTACTGGTGAGTCCAGTGGTGACGTGATTGAGGAGAGATTGTGTTCTAGACTTAGGAACGTAATCTCTGCGCATTTACGTGACTTGGATTCCGAGTCTTTGGACCAGTTTAGGTCATTATTTAGTGCCATTGCTAGGGGTTTGATGGAAACTCCCAATGGTGCACATGACAGGCTGTGCACATTATTTGGGAGAATTTTAGGTACCTTCGATAAGAATCATGAAAATTATTCAACTTAATTGCACTAGCGTTCGTAATAAGAAACACCAACTAGAACAATATTTATATAATAATGACATTACAGTAGCCTGTCTTTCGGAAACCTTATATTTTATATTTTAAGGTCATCAGGAGGGATAGACGTGATAGTACTGTTCATGCTGGCGGGGTCGCTATCTCTGTTCGCAACGGTATTGATTGCGTCAGTTTGAATATCTCAGCCACTAACAGTTTGATAGAAGTTTGTGCACGTAGAATATACACAGTTAACGGTCCTATCATCGTGATAAGTTTATATATACCTCCATATTGTAGATTCTCTCAACGCGATCTCTTCTCTATGTTGACTACATTATCGGACGGTTCGATGCTTATCTGCGGCGACTTTAACTCACACGATGTGTGTTGGGGTAGTCGTGAGAGTAATCTGAGGGGCGATACTGTTTTGAATTTCATAGAGGATCAGGATCTGGTTCTGCTGAATAATGGGGATCGGTAGATCGACCTCTTGTATAGACTTG